TCTAATGGATCCTCTGTAAACTATTCCTTTAATTAATCTGTCATTTTACCCTATCATAGGATCTTCAGATAATTTTTTTTGGTCTGTGATCTAAATTCATGTTTCTATAAGTTATACTTTCTCTTATTTTACAGCTGAGAAACTTGAGAAATCAATACATCGCATACGGCGTCTCAATCGTCCGTTAACTCCTGAAGAGCGGGCTTTAGCAACCCGTCTTATTCATTCCGCAAAATCTAGGCGAGAGCTACTTGAGTCAGGATATAATCGTTTCCAGTTTTTTGAAAAATCCTCTGAGTTACCGGATTGGTTTGTTGAAGACGAAAAGAAACATATGCGGAAACCTATAGTTGTTAAAAAAGTAATTTGTTTTTGCGTTATATTATGTCGTTAACATATTTAAAGTTGAATTAATTTCTCTGTTTTATTCAAAGAAAGCCATATGTAATTACGCTAGTTTATTGCCATTCTAGGGAAATTATATCATGTCACTGTTATTGATTGACTTCGGTATAAAGCTTTCATTGGAGCATGACATTCAGTGTAAGTGTTTATCTACTTGCCCATCTAATGGTGCTGTTTGCACTTTTTACATCTCTGAATTATCCAACAATCGATTGTGGGCACGAAGTAATGTACAGTTTTAACCACACAGTTGATTTATAACTATTATTTAGCGTCTGATAAATTTTTGATAAATTTAATTTCGAATGCATCTAAAATTATGTGTAGCGTTACATTTTGCATTTTGAGAAAAATAATATATTGCTTAGGTTTGCTTCAATCGTTCTGTTTAACGAATTAGATTTTTATCGTTTTTAGGAGGAAATTCCAGTCGATATACCAACAATGGGTCGTTCTCTTTCGAAGGCAGAACAAGCTAAAGCACGTAAAAAGGCTCGTCTGGCGAAACGTTTAAAAAGAATTCGTCAAAAAGCCGAAGATATATCCGATGAAATACCAGAAACTGAGAAATGGCAACAAATAAAACAGTAAGCTGTTTAACACTGTAATATGTGATATCATAGTGTGTAGATTGTTCGGACTTTAGTGGTACAAGTTGTAGATACAGGTGGTTAAGGATATGCTTTGTATAATTGAAGACTTGATAAGGTACTGTTTATGGGATTTACGTGTAACGAAGTCTTAGATGTCATTATTAAAATGTACATGAAATGAATTGTTTTATTCAGTTGTGTTTATTTTTACGGGATGGGGTTGCTAGCCTCATGCCCAACCTTCCCTCTTTACCAGTCTCATTACTGGCCTAGCCAGGTAAAGGTGTAAGTTGGCCCCCGGACCACACCCGTGGTCGGCGAGCATTCTTCTGCTGTGCCACAGACGCACTATGCAGAAGCATACTAAATGTCTATAATTCACTTGTAAAGAGGAACTGATTTGTCTGTAAAGCAAATATGTTAACAGATATATTCATGTCGAAATTGGAAAAACAAATGCAAGGTATGCTTGGAGAATTTATTCTATATAAATGTTATGTAGACGATACTCTCATTACTGGTAATAATGGTAAATCTATTGGAAACTTTATTACCCTACTTAATCATATTCATCCAAATATCCGAGTGACTTCCGAACTTGAATCGAATAACAAACTCGATTTCCTGGATATTGCAATGACCAGGAGAGATGATAGAACGATTCAGCTATCTATTTTTGGTAAACAGACATGGACTGGACAATATCTTCATTTTACCAGCTTTGTTCCTATCCAGTAAAAATGTTCCCTAGTGAAATGTTTGTTCTCAAGGGCCCGAAAAATACGCACGATTGACACACTGATGGATGAGTTTCGACATATACATTCAGTTTTATTAGCTAATGGTTATCCGGAAAACTTTATCACTTGTCAAAGTAAAGATAGACCACATCTCGAAAAGACAGCTTCTGTACCAAAGAAAGCTATCTTTATTAACCTACCACTCAAGGGTGACCAGATTATGCAGTTGACAGCTAGCTCAAAGACTTCAGTCAGCTATCAAACGCACATTCTACGCCGCATTTCTTTTTCTCATTTGCCGAACATTTTCGATCGCTGTACCTACGATTGAAGGACGAAATTCTGTGGACTCTACTTCAAACTGTATCTGCAAGTTCACCTGCGGCTGCGGTGACACCTATATAAGTAGAACCAACAGAATGTTCCAGTGTCATCGAAAAGAACATGTTCCAAAATGGCTACTAAATCATATTGAAAATCCCAGTGCGATTAATCTGAATAGAAATCCAGCATCATCCATTGCAAAACACTTATTAATGTCAGGTCATAAAATCAATATTAATGACTGTTTCACAATTATTTCATCACATAACTCTAATTCAAGGTTATTGAAGGTGATGGAAGCACTTTGGGGGATTAATTACATACAGCTTAAACTGTGTGTACAAAAAACAATAGGCTTCAATCTTCTCCTACCATGGACAACATGACCTGTCTAAATATGATTGGTCATTAGTATGTACTTTTGTTTTTTATACAACTGAGTAATTGTCATGATCTTTATTTTATTATTGTTAAACATGTTAAGTTGTAAAGCGGTTGTAAAGAAACTACGAAATGATATCATCTCGCGAAACTTGTCTTCTAAATGCCTTATTCCTATTCGAATACTCTTCATAGTCTGCAGTGACAAATGTTTTTGGTCTTTGACCATAGATTATTTACTTGAATACCAAACCAGACACCGATTTTCTTTGAACTGACCAGAATGTGTGTATATATATGTGCGAGTGGGTGCAATCTATGAAGATTGTAACGGTTTACAAAAGTCGATGGAATATACTTTTTGTAATTTAAATACCTTTGTAACTATAATAGCCGATCATTCCATTGCTGTTGTTTTTTTTTTTTTTTGCTTTTTTTAATTTCCTTCACCTCATTAGAATGTACAAAAAGGCTGGTCTATTAAAGAAACAACGTCGCCCTCTTCATATGATTGTAAACACAAAAGCCGGTTCACGTGGCAGCACAAAAGCACCAAAAGGAGCTAAAGTTAAGATTGTCGATAAACGAATGAAAGCAGATTTGCGAGGACAAAATAAAGCTAAATTTGGTAAAAAGGGAGGCAGAGGTAAAAGCAAAGCTGGACGTCCTGGAAAACCAAAAGGAGGAATGAGAAAAGGACGCTAAGAATGTTGTTTATTTTGCCTTACTTTCATTTGTACATAGAATATGATTTGGTTATATAAATCTCTGAAATTTTCACATTCTTGGTTTTCTTTTCTATCTGCTTATACCTACCCATACAATGTTTCCAGTAATAATACACAATTGTGAAACGTTAATGGATATTTGCATTCTGAAGTAAAGCAATTTAAATATATCTGGGTGTTTTTTAAGATGGACAGTATTGTGATTAGAAGTCAGACTAATATTTTGTGACATAATTAGCGAATACTAGTCTGATTGAGCATTTAAAATATCTTGTGGTAATAGTATTCCTTCCTAAATTATGAAGTTTCATTCATTTTAAACTCATTGTATTGGAAACATTTTTCAGATCTTTGTCTTCGAGTGTTGTTTGAACTCTACTAACTGTACACAGTTACGAAGAAAAAAAAGTACTGATTATCACTTGAAAGATATAATAATCGATCAGTCAGTTTGGTTGGGGTGAACCCCATAAAATAGTATCATGTAATGAACATCGGAAGTATAAATTTTTCAATTATTGTTATTATTATTTTGTAGATTGTGTTATTCTAACTGATGGATAACTTTTTTGTAAAGTGACCGTCAGTCTTCCTATGGTTCCTGCTGTTTAAAATCCAGAAAGGTTGGTTGGAGAATGTTAAAAATAAAGAGCAGCTAATGTATCTAAATCAATTAGTTGGGGGTTGATCGTTAGGCTTGACGGCTTTTGAGAAAAGGCATTTTTTTTTACTTCGTTTGAATTGAAGCCGGTGAATGCGTGAGTGGATAATACAAGCTGGTGTCTGCAAGTATTCAAAGCTTCCTGTTGATTTATAAATTCACTGGCCTGGACAGCCAACAGGCAATTGTTCTGTGGAACAGGGTCAAGTAGGCAACACTTCACTCTGAGTGCTTAGTGCTGAATAATATACATATTCATAGTACATATGCTCTCAGATCCATGATAAACGTATTCATAGGAACTTTCCTCTGGTCGCATAAAGTTTTCCCTATGAAAGCACCCTAAGTCCTTGCTGTCATTTTCGTTACTATGGTCAGTGTATGATCTTTCTGTTCATCAAGAAGTCTACAACACATGTTATATTTCAAATAACTTTCCTGACTGATTGAAGTTTCACAAGAATTGAGATATAACATTTTTGTTACTTTCGCGATACTTTGGCGAAGATCTCCAGTATTGTTTGAAAATAAGTGATTTCTAAACGAAAACTGTAGTTTGGAAGTGATATGTCACATCAACTTCCTTTGAATGCAAGGATTTCTTATCATATATATTCAGGCCTTCGCATTAGATATTAATGAGGTTTAGTGAATCCATAAAATCCAAACTCAACGTGAAAACTGAGTATATTATTTTATTTAATTTCTTTAGTAACCCCTATATTTGTTGCTTGTGTCGTATTCTTTATAATTTACTGTGCGACTGCGAAAATGGCGTGTATGATTTTGTGGATATTATCTTGAACAGCTCAAAATTGAAGTTAGTATTGCAGTTGCATTCAGTCTGTATCTTTATCTCAGTATTTTTCTAGTTGTAAACAAAACTTTCCATTTGTTGATGTTTTTGAATTCTAGTCTTTCGAATTTTCGACATCTCTGCTGAATTTAACAGCCATCATCAAAACCCACTAATTACCGCATACAAATAGTCTTGAAGAAGCTCACTTTTCTATAAAGGTAAGGGGATGAAGATAGCCTGGACTGATGTAAACTGCTTGGGGAGAAAAAAAACGAAACTAAGCGTGACGAGCAAAAGCAAGCGATAAAACTGTACAGTTTACGATAATCTGAAGAATCTGTTTTGTTTTCGAAAATAAACTAAACTCATGGGCATATAATTGTTTATTTAACACAATGATTTCACTAAATTGGATATTTCGTTCTTAGTTGGTAGTGTGTTAATAATGAATCCACATGATAAGAGAACGTTCAGCTTCTTGGAGCATTGCACAAGCCCAGAAATGTATATTTAGCTCCCATCGAGTAATGGCCAACTGAAAATGTAATAAAAATTGTATAAAAATGATATAGTTAGAATTGGAAATTGTTAATTGTTTTGCTATGTAGTGCTTTTGTAGCTCCAAGGTCAGTCGCTTGACCTATCATCATTGTGACGGTTTTAGCATAAGACGAAAGTTACTTCCCTTTCTTGTGTTTCTATATTGAAAGCTACGCTACATTTTGTCAATATGGTTTTCTTCTTACAAGACACTTACTTGGGAATCAGTCGTATAAATAAGCCCCGACATTTTTTCGTCAGCCACATCATTTAATTTTTTTCGATAGTTAGTAAGTATAGTAATCAGGTTATTACGGTCATGAATTCACTCTATCCTATGGTGTTTTGCAATTCTTCACCAGGATTTAATCTTATTCAGAAAGCCAATGCTTTTAGAATCATCTAAACATAATCTCTTGCATAAATTATCAGTAAGAAAGTGTAAGTTTATCGATTAGCTGTCAGCTTAACAAGAACAATGCAAAAAAACAGGTGTTGTAGAACCTTAATCTTACATTTTGTTGGTTTTGGACATTCAGTCAGCCAGAAACGAAATCCTTCTCGTGCTTTTTGATTTAATTTTGTTCTGAAGAACTGTTTTCTTTCTTCTGGTGTCATTCCCTTTGTGTAGGGACCTCCACAATAGGCAGTCGATTTTGTATTTATTTTGTCAACACTTTTTTCATCTTTTTCGTAGTCTTGATGACTTGGTATTGATTGCCTCGTCATATTTTCTACTTGAGATGCAATGATCTGAGCACGAAGAGCATGAGGATCAGTTTCTTTGTCATGTGTTTGGTTCATTTCATTAAGCTAGAAGGGTGAGAGTGAAAAATAAAACTTGGGAGAGTTAAAATATTCAAGGTTGTTGAACGGAGAAACTATAATTCTGTTGCCTGTCTTTCATATTTATGAGTGTACTCATTGAACAAAATGGTCAACAAAATGTAATTTTATACGATCTACCGATTTTAAATTCCATATCTAAGTTCTTCAAACTATTCAGCAAATATCACCCTTAGTTGGCTGAATATAAACGTTAAGCAAATTTCCGGTAAAAATTTGTTTCATCTTACTTAGAACTGGCCAGCTGGACATACGTGCATATTTTCAGTTTCTATCGTTATTCAAATTCTACACTCATCGCAGAGACCAAATCCTTATCGACTGAATTAGGACAAAACGCTGTCCCTGAATACCACTGCCACTTATCATCAAACAAATAACACCAAGTTAATTAACTTTAAAACACATATAGGTGAAGTGTCTGTACTACTGGGATCTGGCATTTCGGTCTAATAAAATTAACCAAATAGAAATTCAAAAGTCTCAGCGAATGACAAGTGCCACTGTGATGAGGTAAGAATATTGCATCAAGGAACAAAATCGTTATAACTAAACTGAGCGTAATGATGTACCAAAGCTGTTATACAAGTAAATTTCCATAAGCACCACGATGTTTGGGACGGTAATTTAACAATCAAGCTCAGGGAATTCAGTATGGGATGGGAAAGCTACGAGAAGTCAAACGCGTGTATAGAATGATTACTCAATAAAATGACCAAATAGTTATGATCCAATAAAAGTTTCCTTCAGAATTTAACTATAGCTAATAGTGGCATTAGTTATTATGAGAAGTAATTTAAAATACTGCGCTATAACGATGTAAAACCCTAGATTTTTCTATTTGACAGGTTTGAATTACTTTGGAAAATTGTTCAAAAGAAATAAATTAGTTTATCTTAGCTCTCAAACTTTGGAATACTGAGTCTTTCAGCTCAGATTCAACCTTTCGCTTATCTGAATACCCGAACACTTTCATATATTTTTCTAATTAATCTAGTGACTCTAATATTTTGGCGTGTAGTAGTCCATTATGTGTGATGTCTTCTAAAGGACTATTGAACAGTAGAGTGACGGATGAAATTACGGAGAGGAGAAATGAAATATCCTTGCAAAACAATACAGAAATCATTGAAGGGAGCTAAAGGAAGGATAAAATGAGGAACATGGGCTAATCGCCATAACTGTAGATCATTTTACCAAGTAAACGGTCTGTAATAACAGAAGACAAGGGCCGGCAACAGATCGTTTTACTACGAAAATCAACATATTTCCTGTACATTGTTATAGCTTATGCAAGTAGATAAACGCAGGCTTCTGATTGGTTGTTTCGGGATTCCTCGAAAAATAGAGTCCTCTATCTGCGAATCATATTTGCCCACGTTTAAGTCTGCTGTGATTGGTTGTTGAATCAGCCTTGTTCATATTCTCTCGCGGCCAATATTAGTGACCTAGACATTGACGTCTACCAATAGGCTAGCAGCCTGCTCTCACCACAAGTCTACTGCCAAATATTACCGTGTTCTGCCATCACACTATTGAAACATTTCACTTTCTTCTGCAGAAGAAACGTTTTATTACAAGCAAAATATCAAAATAGACAAAATGAAGATGTGTTATTACATTATTGTTGCTCTCTTGAGTTGCAAGTGGAACATAGGGCTTCAACAACACATCTCTAACTTGTTATATTTTCTCCCGTCCTCTGTAGCTGGGTCCACTATTGCCTATAATCTCTTATCTCCTGCCCCATGACTTCCTCCATGTCACCGTCGCACTGACGACTCACTCGTTAATTCCCATTTGGGTTCCACTCGAGGGCCTGGCGCGCGATGTCATCCGATGGTCTCCTCAGGGTATGCCTGGTCCATCTCCATTTTCTCCTACATATTTGTTGAACAATAGGATCTTGGTTACCAAAGCTTCTTGTTGCTAATTGTTTCTGGCCAGCTGGCTATTTGATCTTCAGTATGGAGCCAACGAAGGCAGCTGTTGATAAAAGTCTGCAGTTGTCTGTTGGAAATGCTCTTCGGGACGCAGTCGTTGTTTAAGTTTCAGACCCATATAGAAGAACTGACTCACTTCACATTTGCATTGAAAATCCGAACTTTGTTCTTTTTGCTGAGGCGGAGTGCAGAAGATTTTCAAACCGGTTTTAGATTGATGAAGGCGTATCTTGCCTTTCCGTTTCTGGCTTTGAAATCTTTATCGGTCTCTCCGTATTCCTAGATAAGACGAAAAGTCTCCGCAAGGACCGTGAACAGTGGTGGGTGACAAAAGCCAAAGAGATGGAGAAAGCTTCGAGGATAGGCAACACCAGGCAACTATTTAGACTCATCAGGGAAACGGGTGGGAGAAGACAAATCATTAGTGAGACAATCTCGGAAAAAAATGGCACTATAATTAGCTCCCAGGATAGACGACTGGATCGTTGGAAAGAGCATTATGAGGAGCAGTTTAATTGGCCCACAGCCACGCTCAACCTTCCGAGCATCCAACACCTCCCTGAATGGGATATAGGCACAGGTCCTCCATCCCTAACTGAGGTTACTAAAGCTGTCACCAATCTGAAACTAGGCAAAGCAGCGGGACCTGATGGAATGACTCCAGAGGTATTTAAGTACGGTGGAGACAGCTTACTGTCTGCATTAACTGAGGTACTAGGCAGCGTCTGGGAATCAGAAGAAGTCCCATCGGGTTGGTGTAAGTCACTGATTATCCCCATATACAAGAAGGGAGACAAGTCTTCCTGTGATAATCACAGAGGGATTAGCTTGACTAATATAGTATCTAAAGTCTTAGGCTCAATAATCATGCGTAGACTGAGTGGTGCTCGGGAAGCACAAACACGAGAGAGCCAGGCAGGCTTTAGACCAGGAAGAGGGTGTATTGATCATATCTTCACCCTCCGACAGATTCTAGAACATAGGCATTCCTACCGGCGTCCAACAGTCATTATATTTCTTGACCTAAAGGCAGCATTCGACTCTGTCGATCGAGAAGTTCTCTGGAGATGCTTGGCTGTAAAGGGAATTCCGAGAAAATATATTGCACTGATTAAGGCACTCTACTCGTACTCATACAGCCAGGTGAGGGCTTACGGCGAGCTGTCATCTGAACTGATGACGACCAGTGGTGTCCGTCAAGGATGCCCATTATCTCCTTTTCTATTCAACTTCATCATAGATGTGTTAATGGACTTAACCCTAGGTGACTTCAGCGACTCAGGGATTGACTTGCTACCGGGGAATAATCTCGTTGACTTGGAATATGCAGACGATATAGTCCTTCTAGGCGAAGACGCTGACGAAATGCAGAGTCTTCTAAACACCTTGAGCCGCAATCTACGAATGTTTGGCATGCGATTCGCTCCCGCCAAATGCAAGATGATGTTACAGGACTGGACTACATCGACGCCTAGTTTAAAAATAGGAAGTGAAGTGGTAGAGCACGTTGACCGCTTCACTTATTTGGGAAGTACCATCAGCCCCAACGGGCTGATCTCTGACGAAATCTCAGCACGAATACAAGGGGCTCGTTTCGCATTTGTTAGTTTACGCCGACTCTGGCGTAGACGAGATGTTCGACTATCGACCAAAGGGCGGGTGTACTGCTCATCAGTCCGCTCCGTCCTCCTTTATGGTTGTGAGACCTGGCCACTGAGAGTGGAAGACATGAAAAGACTAGCTGTCTTTGATCATAGGTGCCTGCGCTCTATTTCCCGTGTAAAGTGGCATAATAAGGTGAGCAACATTGAGGTTAGGCGTAGAGTTCTAGGTAAACAGGGGAAATCAATCGACGAAGTCGTGAAGCTACAAAGACTGAGATGGTTAGGACATGTGTTACGTATGCCAAGCCATCGCCTCCCTCGACGAGCAATGTTAGCGGATATAGGGTCAGGCTGGAAAAAAGCTAGCGGCGGTCAAACAAAAACTTGGCACCAGTCAATGAAATCCACAACAGTTGGTCTAAGCCACGTAGGAAGGTGTAGACTTCCAGGCTGGGGTCCTCGGGACGGTAAAAATCTATGGTTGGAAACAATTGGTGACATGGCTCAAAATCGTTCTCAGTGGCGCAGATGCATCCACTCCTTGTGACTTATGATCTCCAAATGAAACTGTTTTGTTTTTCTTTATTACTCCTTTGTCTCACACCTCTGCTCACTGTTTCTATTATGCTTTTCTTGTACTTTCTTCTCTTGCTTCGCGTGCTACACGGAGTGTGGCGACTTGAACTTCCGCACATTTGTGCAAAGTTCTATGTCGAAAACAGACAGACAGGTAAGTGAAGGAAGTAACTTTTGTCAGATATCTCCCGTTGATGGTGTCTGATGCTGGTTGTTGTTCTTGCTGCTGTTGTGGATTAATTATCTTCATCACCTCCGTCTTCTCTATGATCACCTAGACTTCTGTCTTCTCTGTCTGCTTCTTCAGCCAGTTTGCTGAAGAAGATGAAATATCAGTAATTGAATGGTAATCTGGTTCAATATATAATTCCACTGGTATACTGGCTCCATTTATTAGATCTTCAGTAAATTTTTTTTTTATTCTTTCACAGGGCACACCCATTCAGTGTGCTATTTGCCCAAGAGAAGTGTTAAGGAGATTGCATCGTATGAACTACTAGATTATATTGTATCTGTATATGTAAGCTACAGGAATACATTATTCTTATTTATTGTAAACATGTTATAACAAATAATCGAACATCTAGTTAAATGGTTTCCAAACAAATTGACTGTTAACAAAAGCAGACCTTGACAATAATTAATCATTATAAACATATTTTATTAAAATAGTATCCTTTAATTACTTTATCACGTAGAAGAACCCAATTCACTGTACCAATTTTCCTCGCCATCATAACAGGATCTGTCTTCTTCCAATGATAACGCCTAGGATAGAATGATTAATTAGAAAACACTACTGGTTTGATAAACAGTCACCATTTCGTTCAGTTCATATATATATATATATATATATATTCATAATAGTCGGTGGCATAGCAGTTAGGACGCTCGCCGACCATGCACATGGTCCTGGTTTCGATTCCCGGTCGATGCACTCCTTTACCTCGCTAAGCCAGTAGTGAGACTGATAAAGCGGAAAGGTTGGGGATGAGGCTAGCAGCCCCATCCTGTAAAAATTAACACTGCTTCAGAAACCTCAAGCGTCTGGCTTGGAGCCCTATGTCCCCCTGGGGAACGTGAAGGAAATATATATATATATGTATATATATATATATATATATAATTATACAGTGGATATACTTTTATCTCGTCACACTTCCTGTCAGATGGTAAAATCACGAAATATATTTTTTAAATTTCATATCTAGAGGACTAATCATAAGCAGAACAGTTTGTTCACTCAGCAAAAAAATCTTATGTAATTATAGACACACAACTTATCAGTGAACAATGTTTAATTATTCCGTGGCTGAAAAAGTTTATTCATAGAATGAACTGGTTGACTGAAAAACGAAGGAAACAAATTAGGCCCATAATTTCCTACTAACTACTTCTAATACTGAAGCACAAATAAATTTAAATGGGAATATTTAAATTCTATATTAATTAATCTGTTTATTGGATATATCACACAGTGAAAGAGTATTATTTACTGGATGGCAGTTCAAAGACAATTCATTGTTCATCATCATGTTCTTTGTAAGTATATAATTTCGAAACTTGATTTTCATAGTTCCATCTTCGCATTTGTCGTAAGTATGGAAGAATTTTCCAGATATCTGGAACATGTGCTGAATTATTCTCATATGGTCAGTTATCACACACACACACACTCTGAAACCTGTTATATTAGATTTCAAGACTGTCATCTTGTCATGTCCTGTTGTATGGCTGTGTGTAAATACAGGTAGTGCCGTAGCTAAGCATTTTGTTGACTTCTTATGTTACTAGGGTCAACCAGTCTAGCTTTTTCTAGGCAGTCGTGCTCCGCCAATCTAACTAACCCTGGTCTATGAGACCTGGCCGCTGAGAGTGGAAGACATGAGAAGATTAGCTGTCTTTGATCATAGGCGCCTGCGCTCTATTTCCCGTGTAAAGTGGCATAATAAGGTGAGCAACATTGAGGTTAGGCGTAGAGTTCTAGGTAAACAGGGGAAATCAATCGACAAAGTCGTGAAGTTACAAAGACTGAGATGGTTAGGACATGTGTTACGTATGCCAAGCCATCGCCTCCCTCGACGAGCAATGTTAGCGGATATAGGGTCAGGCTGGAAAAACGCTAGCGGCGGTCAAACAAAAACTTGGCACCAGTCAATGAAATCCACAACAGTTGGTCTAAGCCACGTAGGAAGGTGTAGACTTCCAGGCTGGGGTCCTCGGGACGGTAAAAATCTATGGTTGGAAACAATTGGTGACATGGCTCAAAATCGTTCTCAGTGGCGCATATGCATCCACTCCTTGTGACTTATGATCTCCACCAATGAAACTGTTTTGTTTTTCTTTATTACTCCTTTGTCTCACACCTCTGCTCACTGTCTCTATTATGCTTTTCTTGTACTTTCTTCTCTTGCTTCGCGTGCTACACGGAGTGTGGCGACTTGAACTTCCGCACATTTGTGCAAAGTTCTATGTCGAAAACAGACAGGCAGACCCTGGTCTACTACATTGACCTGTTTTCTTAACCTTGCAATCACTGTGGGGTATTTAATGAACTAAATTATTTTATTTAATGGGTCCCTCAGGATCCCTGAACTGATGTATTATGTTTCTAAGTGAGTTTGTAGGTTCGAATGCAACTTTTTTCCTGTCAAACGTGGAGTTCCCCCTTGTGTGGTAATGCTACTGTTTTTTGAATTCATTTTGAAATTTCCTGTTCTTGGTTCTGCCGTCTTTCTGTGTATATTTGTCATTCATGTCGCCCTTATTATTACTGTCGTTATTTTTATTCTTATCGTTCCTTGCATACTTCATGATTAGCTTTTCAAGGTAATTATTAAAGCTTCTCTTATATGCCTGACTTTCTTCCATAGATTGTGTTTGACACTGTCTAGTTGTTTTACCATATCACTTGAACGTTTCACCAATTCTATTTTCACTTATATGAGGTAGGATGAACCAAAATCAGAATATAGATTTAAAAAAGTGTGAATTTTCCGCAAATACTAGAGTTTAACTTTTCCTATTTTTTCCTTTCTGTGGTGCAATCCAATTTTTGAAGTTCTCCTTTCCAATTCGTAAAGGAACTGAAATGCATCTACTGTTGTGCTGACGTGCTCGAAAGACCTTTATATGCATATATATAAGTTTAACTGTCATTTCATTATTAAAATCTGCATATGTAAATACATTCATATTCTGTTCAATGATCATTCTTTTCGCGGCAATGTCTTACCTTACAAAATATAGTAATCTCATATTTTCAATCCCGACTCCAAAAGGTGTTTACAAAGCTCTTAAACCAAATGATTTCCAAAATTTTTGGTTCACCTTCAAATCACAAGTTTGTCTGAAAGATCTGATAATACCCCTAATACCTCTTTTACACAACATCTGAGACCAGTCTATGAGTCACACTTATTATGTAAGGGCTTATGTTACTACCTAGGCTAAAGTAGTTGAAGTTGGTTGGACTCGAATTTGCCACCACTCACTGAAAGTCAAGTGATTAAACCAATGAGTCATATCCCCACATCCTGTGGCACATCATTTTCCAATGGTTGTCTTTCATTGTTAAGTACTGAAATGAGGTACTTACTCCCCTTTTATTGTGTAGGTATTCTGAAACACTGTCCTCAACAGTTTATAATAAAATTAGGCAGCAGTTTCCTGTAGTACGTTTTTATCTGTCGAAGGACTACAGGATGTTGTCTGTAGGATGAAGTAACCATCTTTCAGTAGTTTTGGAGAAGATATCATCAGTTTTCGAAATTGATCGAAAATGTATTACTGTGTTGCTTAGTAATTTTTAAACTGCTTTCAGTTTATTCCGTCATCAAACCAGAGTTAGCAGACAGGTAAACCAAAAAATCTATGTGTATAGGACACACCCTGATAGAAGTTCAGACTGTGTTTTCACTGACAATAATGGTATCTATTCATGTACATTAGACTTGATCTGCTTCGTCTTTTATTTTCAGCTTGTTATGCAGGAATGCCTAATTTCCTTCTTACTTCTTACTACTTGTAGTATGATGATTCATTTCGGATGGAATATGCTCCTTTTGTCTTTTATTATATGCCTAAATATCTGATAGTATGTATTCATGAAGAGTGAAATAACAACTAAATATTTTGTCAATTACTGTTTATTTCTAATTAAATTAGCTTTTACATTTGATTGGATATCTGATGCAAAGTATGAATGAAAGTAAAATATTTCACGGTGTTAGATAACCTAATGGGCTAAGTATCTTCTTGATTTAGCTATAATTTTTGAAAAGGCGGTATATCCATATCCAACCAACCAACCAAAAAGGTAACCGGAAGGTCCTGGGTTCAAACCTTGGCGGATGCGTACTGATGAAGAGTCCCAAACTATGACGAAACAGTTATCCAGTAAGTATTCCTAGGTTTTCCAGTTGTTCTCTAACTGATGTCAGCTCATGATGCAGTCCTATAACCAATGAGATCAAGTCCCAACACTTGGAGTAAAATATTTTGACTAGCAGGCTATGGAAATGGATGGAAGATGTCAACTGAATGTGAAGGAAAAAAGCATTATTCGAATCTTAGTAAGAACTAAGTTTCATGAGTTCAAATAGTATTTAATTATATATATATATATATATATATATATATATATATATATATTATGTATATATATATGTATATATATATATATAAACTTGATTACATCAAGTGGTTTAACAAACGCCTAATTATAGTTCTTTAGCCTTATTTAAGTTAAATAGGTTTCATATTTCAAGACACAGTTTGGTGGCTAATATTATGACGCAAACGAAGGATAAGCTAGATAGTTTTGCCATATCTATGTGCATTTATCAATTCAACTGCGCCTGCGGTGACAGTTATGTTGGGCGTACCACTAGACAGCTTAGCCAACGTGTTAGGGAACATCTCCCATCGTGGTTTGGCAAAGGACAGACAAAAACAATCCGTAGCTCAGTTTTGTCACATTTAAATGATATTGGTCATGTAGTCGATAAAACGAAAGCCTTCAAAGTAATTCATCGTATCCCACCGAAGCTTTCTAATAGACTTCGTATTCGTCTACTGCACACAGCTGAGGCGATAGGCATTCGAACTATTAAACCTAAACTATGCATTCAAAAGAAGTTCGTGCAGCCATTATCCCTCCCTTGGCCTATTAAGACATGACCAACTAATGACTTCTACACCACCCCTTGTTTATATTTTCAACCCCTTTCTTATCATTCCTTAATCTTATCTTCATTATAAACGTGTTTCATTTCCTTCCCTTACAATCCAGCATTACAAAATCGGTTCATTTGTTTTTACTAGCCTTTATCGACTGCTTCCACCTGAACATTTGTTTGTCTAATCATGCTGCTTTTCATTATTCGTGTTATTACAGATTGCCTCACTTTTTCATCCTTATTATTGATAAGACCATTATTATTGTTATTACTATTATAACTAATTGCACAATTTATATTCACGATCTTATTATTCTATAGGCAAAACACCATGATTAGTTTATATTTGAATTTTTATTTGTAAACTTATATCTATTAGAGATAAGCCTGATGAGATCTAATTGAAAAGAATATTGTTCGCTTAAATGTTCTGTTCTAAATTTTAATATTATGAAGTGTGAACAACTGAGTAGTCACCACATATATTTTAGTGGAATATAACTTTAGGTAGATGAATTAGAATTACATTTTTCAGATATGCTTAAAAATTATGGCGTTTGCAGCACTCAGACGAAGATTTAAATTTATATCATGTATACTTGTGATAAGTGCTGTTTACATACAGTTTTTTCTTTATTCTTTTGCTTTCAAAGTGAAGCACACGAGTTCAAGATATGAAGTTTAAATAAGCAGTGGTGTGTTTCTTTACGGGGTGGTGTTGCTAACCTTTCATCCAACCTTTACTCTCTTCTGAACTTACTCCTAGGTAGTAAACTAGGCGAGAATTAGGAGTGTATCGGTTAAGAATTGAACCCTGTGTATATACTTGTAGTACTCAAATCTGTGATATATGTACACACATCACAGTGACGACTACTGATAAATACAACAACCTGGCGTAGATGGTTATATTTTTATTTTACTTTAACTTGTGCAAATGATGGAAAAATTTCCATTTTTAAATATAAATGAAGAATAAACTATGCGATTGACAGTTACATAATTAAAATTACTTTTAAGAATAAATTAATTATGGTGTAAACAAACAATGGCAGTAATATTTATGCTCGATTTTAATCAAAGTGAATGAACAGCTTAATTATGTGCTCGTAATCAATTCGTTTAGCTTTTAGAAGTTAGTCGTGTTCAACTTCAAATCCATTAGTGATAATATTCTGAATTAGTGCCGAAAGTTTTCAACTTTAATTGATGATAAAGGGATTTTCTCTAGAACTAGACAGATTTATATCTACCACAATTTTTCTGAATGGTCCAACTTAATTATGAATCTGATTAAGACGACGGCTCACTGAAATATATTCCATTTTGGATTTACTAATTGTTCAATAATGTATCTTGAACAGGCTTTTCTTTCGCACTTCTTAAGCTATATGTGCATGTTTGCGGTATTACGCGTTTGCTGGGTTCGAGTCACATGAGAGAGGATCGGTAAAAACTGATAAAAAATGTGAGTATTCAACACAAACAGTGGCGAAAACACTACACTTTATACATAGATATATTCTAACTCAGATGCCTAATTCGATCAGTCCAAGCATTCGCAATAGTGGATCAATTTTGATTATCAGTTCACAAGTAAACATCATGAATGCAAATGTTATCACATGTATAAAATTGTCACATACCAGTAGATAATATCATTTGGTCCAGGTGAATGAACTTTGCGTGTACTCATACTATTTAAATTGACTTGATGCAACGAAGCAATAGCTGATATTGTAAATGAACACCATAAATAGCTGTTAAAGTTATTTCAATAACAATGACCTTAAAAATTCTTTTATTTATAAAAAAGTATCGTTTGGTCTTGTAGTTTACTGCAACTACCAACTTTTATTGATCTGTTAAACTACCGATTGGTTAAATATTGTTTATTTTTTATCCAGATCTAAAGATACGAAATAATGAACTGTTGCACCAAACTGAGTGCAATTAAATTGTTCTATTTTTTTTAAAATTTGATTTCTGACATAAATAGTCCAACAGTCTTCAAAAAATTCACTTCATTTTATTATTACCAAACCGAATTCTAAATAAAGTATAAAAAATATATCAGGATAGATTCATAGGGATGCTTTGTTGATGTTAAGCATTTCGAAACAAATTTTAGGAAGTAAATAATAACTTCTGAAGTAACAGATATGCCAATGAAACTGTGGCCTCTTCAGTGTGTGATTTAATCGGGGGTTGATTTTTCATACCGTTTTTTCGAAGCTAGTGGTAATTATTGATCTTGTGTGAAATGGTACAACCAGAAAATGGAAGAATAACACAAGGTAGGACTATCAGGACATTGTTACACCGTTAACAGCTTTTAAAAAGTAGGTCATTACTCTAAGCTGTAAGATGATGGCCTGTTTATACTGACTAAGTAAAGCCAACTCCAACCAGGCGAGGATTTTGAGTATATTGACTGGGAACTGAAACCTGCCCAACTGCTTGGCCGGCGATCTTTTTCCTGTTGAACTACCGATGCGGACACAAATCACTATAAAAAACCATTATGTTTCATGAGTTACTCCCTTTATAAATTACTTCGATTTGCTCAGTACTGCAATCATTTTATCATGAGAAAACATGTGAGTACTTCAAAGTATACTCCAAGTTAGCCATTTTTGTAACACAAGGTGAGAAAGATTACGGTAATTTTATTTGAGTAGAAACCAAAATTATCATAAATAGAAATATCACATCCAGGTAAACGTATAACGGTTAAAATAAAGTTATATCCTCCTAGATATTTAGATTTCCCTCGAAATAAATCCGAAACAAAACGTTTCTGGTAAAAAGTTTATTTTGAGTTCGGAATTTACCAATAAAAATGTTTGGTATTAAAGTATTGGTTTGTAGGGATTTGGTTGATTGGTTACAGGATTTCATCATCATCACGGGTTCGAACCCTGGTGGATGCGTACTGATGAAGAGTCCTAAACTAGGACAAAACAGATGTCCAGTACTCCTAGGTTTTCCAGTGGTTCTCTAATCAATGTCAGCTCATGATGAAATCCTGTAACCGAAAATGTTTGAGCTGCGTAATTAAAATCAGAGGATATTTTTACTGGGGTTTGTTCTCAGTTATATTCTGTGCTCATTGTGTATAAATCCATCCTCTTGACCGGTAGTTTATGAAAGATACATTTGAATATAATATGTCAGATCTCATCCAGTTATCGAAAGTGAATCTACGTGTGCTACATTCAATAAAAGTGGCTAAGATAGTTTGTCAAACTCAAGGGATACATTCGACTGCATTAAAATAAGCGAAGAATTTAAGAAATAATATTTTGAAAAACAGCTGTGGCCAAGAAATTCAGAAAAACAGAATGGAATGATGTCTTGTAATTGAAGATGAAAGAAAAAGTGACAGAGACAATTGTTAAACTAAAGTGAAGTCAAACAAAAGCAGGTCGAAAGGTCTCCTTTTGTATGCATAATTCCAGCTTGTCCAAATACCGAGAAGGCTTCTACAATTCAGAGAAGTAGAAACTATATTTTATTCTTTCTAAGCCATTCTGAATGGTAAATCTGTTGGATGTGTGCTGATGAAGTGCTCGATTAGAGTTAGCGTACTGAGTAGTCTTCTCGAGCATGGGACGATCTATATATCCTGTTATAAATGATCAGGTGAACTGATAATATACACATCGAAGTGGTCATACTTGGAAGTTTGTCCTACAAGTTGCTTAAAACAGTGAACCACTAAAGAGTATCATTCTTAGAATTGTTGCAGATAAGGTCCTCTTTAGGAACCTGTGGATATCTGCCAGTAAGTTTCTCTTGATCTCAAGGTGCATATACAGTATCTTCCTGTTCGTAACTGTGGCTTAAGTTTAACACAAACCATGCTGGTGGGTACATATTTTCAGCCAAGACCTTTAGGAGAAGTGAGAGCTTTTTATTCTCATAAATAGTCCTCGGTGTTGATTCTTCCAATGCATTAGATAGGTAAAACGATAAAAACTCTCTTCTGACTCATGGTCACTTAGATATAAACACTCGTCAATTCTCTATGGAGGCTTTTTGACGGGTAGATTATTTAGGAGTACCAAATTCCCTCCTGATTAGTCCTACTACTAAATATAGGATCCTTGAGTAAGTTTCTGTTTCCAGTGTGAACTTAGCTGAAGGATGAAAAATTTTAGGTACCTTTAGAACAATTAATTTCTGAGTTATCATGACAAATTATAAAAGTGTTAATGACATACTTTTCACATAGCAGAAACCCATCAGTTTACCTACTTCAGATAAAGCAATCTACCAAAAGTTGGCCAAGAAGATAGCCCATAACAATTTCGCCTATGACACGTCACTGTCGTCGTTGAGAGGGAAATTCAAATTGGGTATCATTTTGGTAGGTATGAGATTTGTGTCCATACACTTAACTTGTTTTCGCCCACATAATTACACAGGAAAAAGATTATTTATTGAGGGGCACGTTGGTATTGAGAAACTTTATTTCTGACGATAATATTCAAACCAGATTTTTCTTGCACGAAGCTGTGAGTCACACTTATTGCGTGATGGCTTATTTTACCACGTAGTTGCCCAGAATAAAGCAAACGAAGTAGGATTCGAAACCACGACCCGTTATACAACAGCCTAGTGCTTAAGTCATGACCTGGATCTCCATATCAATAACGTACGCTTTTAAATTGCACTCAGATCACTGTGACATATTTAGGATTTGTCAACGAGGTGAACCAGCTTCATGCGCTTTCAGTAGACCATAAATTAGGGGAATCATTAATTTGATCTGTCTCTGACGTTCGATAAGGGCTTCGCCGATTAGGCAATCATCTTACAGTCTTCTGTTAGCGTCCATCAGATGCAGCTTAATTAATTCAGTCTTCTGTACCACTAATGGACTTAGGAGATTTATTACCACAGATTATTCGATAATATGCCCTCATTTTTGTCATATTACAGAAATGAATACTTAGCAGTAAGATTTACGAAGAACTGGAGTTTTTCTTGGAATCTATCGCGAAGAAAATATGCTTTTATTTTGCTGGATGTTGATATAAGAAAATCCCTAACAGTAAACTAGGATTTTCAACATATATAGTTATGTGGGGAGCTATAGAACTAATTTGTTGTCAGTCATTATCCATCCGATATGGCGGATGTATCATTCATGTACCTATTGTGAGTATGAAAACTTTCAATAGTGGATCACATCATGTTATCTTTTAAACTTCTCATGATGTGCTATGTAAACCGTGAACCCAGTGGCTACCCAATTGTCAATCGGTCTATTTGTCTGTATGTTGCGACATGAAACTTGAACAGGATATTAAAAGGCTAACCTCAGTAGTAGTTCTTTTAGGTAGTGGATGGGAACACTCAGGTCTACATTTTTGTCCCCGGTGAGTTTTTATAGAAAGCGAATAAGCACAGATACGATTGTTCAGCTTTTGGAGATGAATTCGTTGCAAAAGAAAATAATGATTTAATCCCTACAAACCAAAATAAGGGTTAAAATAATGGAATTTATTTCATACTTACTTGATTGACTAACACAAAGTTATTCTCTACTATTTTTAGCTAGCAAATATCACTAAATTTATTCTTTGGAAGCCAATCCAACTTTCCAAGTAAGTACTCCGTTTTATTTGAAGTAAAGAAATGATCTCTTTGACGATGTGGCTTCGAAATGCCGTCTGTGATATGGTTTCAGCAGCTTAGAGCATGGAGATTTACATGTACCTGAAAACTCTGTATTTTTCTGAGTGCATTAGGAGTCAATTATTGAAGGCATAAAGTATGACCTTAATTGGGTGTAGATGTATGACTAAGCTGACCAAAAGTTGAGAAAATTTGAAATTCGATATTGCCTACTCATAAGTAGTAAAAGTATTTTTGGTAAAATCAAACTTTTTAACCTTACGTTAATGATTTCGAAGCTTGTGATACTGAAGAACATTATTTTTAAAAGCAACAATTTATCAACTCGATTTTTCCTCATTATCGTTTAAATGAACAGTATCTGTTTCAGTTCTGGTTATTTAGCATTGTCTTCTGTCTCATATGAATGATTCGGTAAATTTGCTTCTTTTAATGGCTGGTAAGGGCGTCGGAGATGCAGAGGTAGAATGTTCGCCAACCACATATATAGTTAGGGGATCGATCTCCAGCCGACGCACTCCTTTACCTCGCCAAGTTAGTAACAAGACTGGTAAAGAGGGAAGGTTGAGGATGAGGCTAGTAACCGTATCCCGTAAAAATAAACACTACTGAAGCCGAAACTTCAGGCAACTCGCTTGAAGCCCTATGTTCCACTGGGAACGTAAAGGGACAAAATAATGGCTGGTAAGTGGATAACCTGTGTATTCCTACCTTCCACAAATATTGTTTAGAATTCGCTGTGTGCAGATCAATCATTCTGAAGCACTATATCAGCTAAAATAATCATATCAAAGTATATGAGTATTTCTTCTCTATGATTAATTATTATAAAGAGTGATGCCCAGCTGTCATGTGGATGAATGATATATAACTATCCGCTAACCACTACATTGTCTGAATGTCAAAATCAAACATGGTCGACTTGGTAAAGCAAAGCAAGTTTTCATTACTCTGAAATGAGTGTGTAGATCCGGATTATTTAGTACAAGGAGCAAAATCCAAATTTCAAACACTACTTTCAGGTCTGTTTACATGGTTAAGAGACTTAGTGTGCATGCCACCAAAAGCACTCACAAAAGACTGCAGATTTTCATCAACAGCTGCCCTCACT